TAGTAGTAGTAGTAGTAGTAGTTCTCTACTGTGGCACACTTCTCAGAGGTGCTAAGATTTGAGCTTCAAGGTTTACAGGGCTTGTACAAAGGTCTACAGGAGGCTAAGGGCTCAGGACATGATTTGTGGTCATCAAGGGAGCACAGGCGGATTGTGGCGTTTTGCGTTCCCTCTATAGAGGACTACCCACGTATGCCTCATCATGCAGGGGCGCCTCTCCCCCAGCTCCCCGCTGACCTACGCTTGTGATGCTTTGTGGATTACTTCTATTTCCATACCTTAGCCCCCTTCCATGCGGTCCGGTTGTCTGCGCTGTTGTTTTTCACCACCCAGTTTACAGAAAAGAGTCTCCTGCAAAGGAACCTGACGGGCATAGTGCAAACAAACACTAAACACTCTCCACACCTAAACACCCTGAACCCTAAACCCTAGATCCTACACTGCAACCCCTGGCATTAAACACCTAAACATATGAGGCATAATCTAAACTCCCAGCATCCAACTTCGTACCTCTATTTGAGTCCCCTATTTCATCCCCACCATAACGGCCCCTATACAATCCTTATATATCACTTTTCATATGGTTCTAGGGAATCTAAACTCTAAACCCTTTATTAAACCCTAAACCGCAGTCCTGCGGAACGCTGGGGGCAATGTGATCCTCGGACCTGCGACCAACTCACAGGGACTTTGGTTCAAGAGCTTAGGAAGTACATACACACGCACATATATACAAATGTATATAGATACGCATATATATATATATATGTATATGAATATATATATATATATGTTCACATAAACACACATACATGAATGTATATATATATATATATACACACATATGGTATGATTAGAAGCCTGGAGTCTAGAGCTTCGGACATTCACAAGCGGTTCGAGACACTGCAGAGTAAGTAGGAAGATCACAGGCTCAGTCATAACCTTCGTGTCGGCATTCTATTGTACCAGGCAGCCCACAAAACCCAGCAGCATAGCCTTAAAACACATTTTGCTGTGGTGAAACGTCTCTGGCAACGATTCTGGTGGATGGCTCTTGTTAGGGATTGCTTCTGGGCAAGGAATGAAGCGACAACATGCCTAATTTCTTCATTCTACTCGGCTTGCTAATCAAAGCTTAGCTTGAACCCCAAACCCATCTTAAATCCTCAGCCCGAAGCCCCAAAGCTGACCTCAAAAACTCATAATCCCAACCTGAACTTAGGCCACATTACCTAGGAATAGACTAGGATTCTTTTTGCATAGCTATAAGGAATCCCCTACACCAAAAAAAAATGGATCCCTAGACCCTATCCTATATATCCTATAATATCCCTATAACATCCCTATATAACCCCTGTATCCCCCTTTAAAAGATCCCTAACATTGATGTAAATGCTGGATCCTCAAAGTCGGACCTTCTGATCCCAGCCTCCGCCGACCCTTGCGTCCTTTGCGCGGTCGCGGACCGTCACTTTCGGCCTCCTGTTTGTCTTATACTATGTAATAGAAATAACAGTAGTAACATGTAGTAACAATAATAGCAAAAGGAATAGCAACAATAATAATAATAGTTAGTCGGTGGCCGGGGAACCATGGGGCTTATGGTACAGAGTTCAAGGATTGTGGAATCCCCTAAACCCTAAACCATGAGCCCTAAACCCTGAACCCTAAACCCTAAACCCTGGAAGCCCCAAACCCTAAACCGTTGGCGGGGTGAGTCCGGTAATACTGGCTCTAGATGCGACCCAACTCGGCAAGGCCTAGACCCCCAGTCGCATGTCCAAACGTCCTTCCAGCCTACATCCCAAAAGGTAATTTCCCAAGATACGGGGACCCCAATATACCCAAAATACTATAGCCCGTATTCTAACAGAGGGACTCCCCAAAAGGGTACCCCTAATTTTGGGAAATCACCAACTGGCTCGAACTCCAGATCCAATGCCTTCAGGCCCTGAGTTGGCTCTTATGTACCAATGCCAGTGGCTTAGGTGTGCTGTAATGACATGACCACACGCAAGCTTACACCTTGGACTGCAGACTGCCTTTCTAACCCTAAGGGTCCTTGGACCCAAATAATAAGGTGTTAGGGCCCAAATACTATAATATTAATGGTATTTGGTCCTTGGACCCTTAGGGCCTTAAGGTAACAAGGACAGAACATGCTGAACCCGCCTCTTGGGCCCCAGGAGTCACTGCAAGACTACGCCGGGCCTGGAAAGTTGTCGTGCGTTCAGGGTTGTAGAGTTGAAGGAACATGGATCCTATGTATATAGGGGATTATATAGGGGACTACTATGGGGGTTATTAAGGGGGATACTAGGAGTTTAGACTATGTCATAGAGGGAAGAGTCTTGAGGTTTACTTTCCAGGGTCTCTAGGGCTCGAGGGCAAGGATCGCATGGCTTGCTGGAGCCAGGGAAAATCTCTATATCTACGCTCCTTCTCAAACGTTGCAGCCCTTCTGACTGTGGCATCGCAATCTCCCCTACAGTTTTGGAGATTCCTGGGCTCTTTAGCTGCCCTTATTGTTGATACAAACTATCCCTAGCTCCTTAGCTCCCCCCAAAAGTATGGGTAGTAATATTACATAATTACTCCCTCCACCCGCGTCAACACGAGTCGTGCATGGTCGTAATCAGTAACTCCAGGCCCGTGCTGTGGAGAGTCCATATTTCGGTGGGATCCTCGGGGAACTTGCCAAGCTGTCAGGGTTCGGACATTCATGGTTGCTTTGCTTATATCAGAACTAAGAATGGCAAAGGTTATTCAATTTCTGGTTCAGAACTTCACGTGGGCAGTAGCATGTCAAACTGCATTTCTACCATGTCGAGCACAGTGGCCTGACATTGGCAAGCGTGATATTCAGACCCCAACATGCAGAATGCATATCTTGGGAAGCTGCGTTGGGTTGTGGGGGTTTCAAACCTTAAGCCCTAAACCCTAAACCCTTAAACCCCAAACCCCTAAGGCCTAAGCCCTAAACCCTAAACCCCTAAAGCCTTAACCCTAAACCTTAGGGGCCAGCAATTCCCCAACCCTGCTTCCTTGATGTCTCCACACTTGGAGTACCAGTGGGGCAGTGAGGGCTTGCTCCTAATCTTGACATTTAAGGTTTAGGGTTTAGGGTTTTGCCCCAATCCGAAACCACAGCCCCCAACTCCCTGCTGAAATTAGACTCTGCTTCCTTGCGCAACATACCGCCCTGTAAACCCCAGCGCTGAGACCAAAGCAATACACCCCATAGCCCCTCTATATGTGTATCTATATATATCTATATCTGTATATATACATCTCCCAATTCTTCAACCCTAACCCCCGACTTCAGAAGGACCTCCCGCCGCTGACGCCGCTTTTCCCGGCGGTTGTTGCCAAAGTCCGGGTCAGGGTCCTGGCTTCGCCCAGGGAAGTCCATTCTACAAACTCTGAAGATTTCGTCGGGAGAAAAAGTCGCATGCATTCACATGAGCTATAGTCTAAACTCCTAGTATCCCCTTGATAACCTTTATAGTAATCCCCTACATAATTCCCTGTCTAACCCCCTTTAAGGAGCATTCTCTTGGGTTGCGTCTGTCTTCGTAATCCATCATACCAGGAGCTGTATCCATATCAATTTCATGATGGGCCCATGAGGCACCCCTAATTTATGAGGCCCCGATGCATTCAGGCCCCCTGTTGTGTATGCTTCTTGAAACCTTGATACGCTGAAACCTGATGCTTCCCTTGTACTCCCTGATGCCCAATGTCTGCGAATCTCAAGTCTGAAAGCATGAGCCTTTGCGCTGTAGGCTTAAGGGTGGTTTGTTTGGAGGATGGTTTCCATGCCCGCATGCTCAGAAGCCTCCGGCCTCTGATTGACAAAGCGTTTCGAAAGCTTTAAATAGTAAACCAAGAAACCCTGAACAGGCGATTTTGAAAGGCTTCATGTAAGGTATGGGTCATGGGCTGCTTCCTGTGAAAAATCCTCCGATGGAATGCTTCAAGGGCCAGGGAGACACGAAGCACGTGACCCCACTGGGCTGCGTAAAGCCTACGTCAAGGTCTTCTGCCGAAATCTCGCGCTCTGCTGGCATGAAGCTGCAGCACCAGTATGCTTAGATTTGACCCTTGGTGCGTGCAATCAGGGATTCTCATCTGCGCGCTAAGATGCCCGATTGTGCTTGACATGGTGGGTTAAGCTCCAGAGGAGATTTGGGTATCACCTTCCTTTATCTGCATCCTCCGCTGTACCTGTACCATGTTCCTCGTGTGCTGGGTGCTGATCAAGCAAACGGCTCACAAGTGCTAGACTCAACACTCCTCACACGGACCCACATAGACCCCGCTGTCAACAGTATGAACATATCTAACACGAAGTGTCTCTGCCTCAGGCTCTGGACCCTAACTCTACCACCTAAATCCCCAACAAACAGTGGCAAGTGTGGCGTTGCCTCCCATCTGGATCTCGTAGGAATCTGGGCATCGTGCCAGTAAGACTACAACCCTATGAGTTAGTTCCAAAGCCCCGTAAAGAACAAATGGTTCAAAACCCTTAAAGATAGTAAACACGGCCATTCTGCTACATGAGCTACAGTCTAAACTCCTAGTATCCCCCCTAATAACCCCTTTAGTAGTACCCTGACCAATCCCCTTAAGGGAGGTTAGACTATGGCTCACACAATTCTGGGTTTCGGGCTGCTCCTTAGTCAGTACATCGTGCGCAGCTTTGTGACACGACTGCCAGATGTGCAGTAGCCTGTCACTTACTTGAAACGGGCAACTATTTCCATCGGGGGACTTGATGAAAGGTCAAATACCCTGCAAATTATGCTAGGTTTCCTCATGCCGGGTAGGCATTACTAGCAATAGTAGAACTAAGTGTACATATGCGTCAAAAAAAGGAGGAGCAATAGTAGCAGCAGCAGAAGAAGCAGCAGCCAGAGAAGCAGAAGAAGCAGAAGCAGAAACAGAAGAAACAGACGTGGAAATACAAGCAGCAGAAGCAGCAGCAGGAGGATGATGATGATGATGATGATGTGATGATGTTGATGTTGATGTTGATGCTGCGGCTGCTGATGATGATGATGATGATGGTGATAACGGTGATGATGATGATGATGATGATGATGATTATGATGATGATGAGCACGCTGCTGCTGGTGCTGCTGCTGTTGTGGAGCAGCAAGATAGCTTAGCACGTCGGGTTGCAGAAGAAAGCCCAACTTCCTGAGGGACTATGGTATCCGACTGCGCATGCGAGGGGTTTCCTCTATGCACGCTGGTCATGGACCCGTAGTTCAGAACCTTCATCTACAGCATACGCCCCTTGCGGGGAAGGCTGAGGATAGGGCCTCTTCCTCTTCGTGGCCAAACCTCATTTCAGAGCGGATGCTGGCAAAGGTGCTGCCCGATAATTTCAGCTTTTGGATGGTCTAAGAAATAGGCAATGAGCCATAGTCCCTCACATAACCCCGTTAAGGAGTTTAGATTATAGCTCATATGGCCTTAGGAGCTGGGGTTTAGGTTTCAGGGCTAAAGTGAGAACCAAAACTGAGGGCACACGCCTGCATCAGAATCCAAACTTCCTCTGAGCTCCCTCCACCTCTACATGGGGGTTTCCCAAAACTAGAGGTACCTTTTTGGGGATCCCTACAATAAGGATTATACCATATTTGGGTCTGTGTTGGGGTCCCCTTGCTTTCGGAAACTATCACGTGCCTTGGCATGCTTGTTAAACTATTTCCACATCGCACTGTTCCCATACACCACAAGATCTCCTTCTTCCCCCTGACTCAGTTTTTGTCAACAAAAATCTCAAAACACTTTGTATACCTAACCCAGAACCTCCAGCAGGGAAGAAGGTAGGGAGACCGTTACGCAGACTAAGGCGTAGGGGATTGCACTTTTCTAGGAATCCTAAGCCTCGCCATAGGGATCCAAGTAGCCCAATGTAGGTAATATCTAAAGATTGGGTACTGCCCCCCACCCGGTAACAGTCTATAGTTGGAGTCCTATTACGGGCTAGATATAACCATATTACAATTAAGTAATTATTATCCAACTGTTGCTGAAGGGATGCAGTACCCAATCCAAACAGCATAAACCGTTTTACTTATGGAACAGGGATGAAGTAAACGAGCAACGGAGGCAATGGGCCGCATCAAGTCGTCCTGTGGTGTTTGGAGAGTCGGGCCGACGCCGCAGTTGTGGAGAAACGGCTTCCGCCAAGTGTAGGGGCTCCAGCTGAGAAACTGTCAGGGCGAGATGGGGACGCTATCTGATCTCACCCTACAAGGCCTACACTGGAAACCCTCGAAGAGAAAACGCACCAGCCCTGACCCCCAAGTCTAAATTCCTCCTATCCTAAGACCCCGCCACATTCAAGAAGTGGTTGCTGCTCGATGTCGGATGTACCATGCAAACCCTGGGCTGTGAAGGGAGGGAGGTGCACCCTTAATTTTGGGAACCACCTAAACTCTATATAGCCCCCATATATAATCCCTATACTATATAACCCTTACATAACCCCTATATAAGCCCTTTGAAGGTACCCCAGGACTTAAGGGTTAGGGAGAAATTCCCAACTCAGTCACTGGGAGCAAGGCCTTTCTGCTGCGCTCAGCAGGTCTGTGCCCTCGGAAAGAGCGACTACTTTAGATTAACCCCAAGAGTGCAGGGTTTAGGGTCTAGACTCTAGAGTTTAGGGTTTGGGGTTTTGGGTATAGGGTTTAGGTAGATTAATCCTACCTGGACCCCCAAAGTAGGCAAAATGATGGCAAAGAACCACAAGAATAGCCCCCAAGTCGTTCCTCTACATACCTTTTGGGGTTCAGGTACGGTATACATCAACATGGAAACTAAATACTAGGTTGATTTGCGGTTTCAGGGTCATGGTTCTGGGTGCTTTAGGGGTATGGAGGAGTGCAAACACAACGGAAGCATCTGTATTAGAGTGTATAGGGTTTGGAGTCTATGGAATAGATCCGGGTGTTCCTCCAAAATCTCATGTCCTGTTCCATTATTCCTTACTTACAGCCAGTAAGACAGGACAACTGTTCTGCAGACACGAAATCAGGCTTTGGGAATTCAGAAGATGTTCTGCTGCGTTCTGGAGTAGATGACATCTCCGGAATGCTAGGACTTGCCGTCTGTGCTCTTGGTGGGGTGTGCTCTATCTACCTGAGGTCATGTACAGGACTTTGGACATACAATCTTGGATTCGTTGGAGCGTTATAGACATGGGCGTAAACACTAAATCCAGGAGAAGACCAATCGTGCGAGGAATCGGCACGCCTACCAGCACAAGGAGCCAGTCACCTTCTTCAAAATCGGCACGGAGCCCGAACAACCAGAGTATAGTTTCTAGCCGTATGCTATAGACCAATTTCGAGAACGCATCAGCCAGTAGGCCAGAAAGCAAGAGACCCGGAGAGGCCAACATATCTCTTTCTAGAAAATGTATCTATGTACATTAGGGTTTAGCGTTTATAGGTCTGGTGAACTCATACATTGCTATCTCCAGTAAAGATTGGCTCTGTTCTGCCCACTTTGGCGCTGAATGTTTGACTGGAATAAGGAGCGCACACACAACGATAAGTGCTTGTCGGAACAGGTTTCAGGTCTCGAATCAAAACTGCGAACAAACAGCGGCCAATCCGGGCCAGATAGGTACGGGGGCGTAACCAACACCGAGAAAATCATGTTTGAGCTTAAAGGTGCATATGATGAACGTAGAAACTCAGATTGCGCAGGGACAGACGAGCTAGGAAATGCTTATGTATAGGACACGCAGTGTATTCTGTACAGAAAAATCTTGGAAACACCTTACACGCTACTTGAGCCCGTATGCTACTCAGTCAGTCTGAACCTAGCAATGTAGATGAAAACATCCCGAGGCCTCTGCTTCATCAGCGCTCTTTGTCGCATGTTCTTCCTCCTGCTCGCGTTCAAACGTAGGCATGGTCTGATACTAATAATACCAATTGTACTACGTTTTAGGGTTTGGGGGGTTTAGGGATGTTCAGGGTTTAGGCTAGAGGCCAGAGCCCTAGAGCACGTGGATTTCAACAGGGATTGTCCCAACATAACACCTTTCATGAGGCTAGGAACACCCTTTGGATCATCACTCGGCACGTCTAGGCTGATACGTGAAGACTTGGTCGGCCAAGGACCCTTTTCAGAATGACATGACCTATAGTCTGAGCTCCTAGTATCTCCCTCTCCCTTGCGATTAACATCTTCCGAGGACTGTGCACAGCAATCTCTTGGCAGCCTTGCACATCTCCCTTGATGACGCCTATAGTGATCCCCTATATAGTCCCCTTTTCCGCAGTCCCCCCAAGACTGTTGCCATGACTCAAAGTCCGTCGGAAGGCCGGGCGTCCAAAATGGAGGCACGACAAGATGGACCCGAAACAAGGGCATTCCAGATAGGCGACAGGGGAAACCAAAACGAGAGATCCACCAGCGTGTTAGAGCCACGTAAGCCTATGTACGATTGCAGCACTAATTTAGAAACGGCATTCTATGAAAGACAGAGGTTTCCTTGATGAGGGCACCTTATGAAACCCAACCCAAAGCTTACTCTTCATGCCTTAGGGCCCTAGCATGCTGTGAGGCGGAGGAAGGTTACGGAGGTCATATAGGCTTGGGTGAGTGCTATAAGCGTGCTGCCGCACCTTCAAGCCCAAGATGTGATTCATGTGTTCAGTGTTCAATGGTCTTACACAGTTAGCTTTCAAAGCCACATCACAGAAGGGCAAACCAGCCTGTTTCCAGGCATTCAGCATGACTAGTGACTTAGCCTGCATCAGTTCCGCTCGCTTGGAAGTGCGCCAAAATTTTGTTTCAACCCTCATGATCAAGATTGCTCAAGATCGGAGAGCAAGGAGCTGCCTGCAATGTAACAAACACAGGGGAGATAGCAAAGCGTGCCCCCGGCAGTATGTTTCCGGTGTTCTTCACAGGTTCCCCTTCTCTCACACAAAACCTGGTGGCTCGCAAAAAAAAACTGATTTTGAAACATCTGCAAAGGTTAGAAATGTCTCCAGGCAACAGTGACCATGTGCGGCACCTTGCAATCTACTGTGTTCAGCCCAGCAATACAAGACAAAGCATGCTGCCTCGCAATCAGCTGGGTCGTCTTCTTCCTCTTCTTCCTCTTCCTGTTCTTCCTCCTCCTCCTCTTCCTCCTCCTCTTCCTCTTCCTCCTCTTCCTCTTCCTCCTCCTCATCCGCTTCTTCTTCCTGCCCTTCTACTTCTTCTGATTGCTCCTCCTCCACCTTCTCCTCAGTTTTTACGTTGTTGTCCTCCTCTTCTGGGAGACTCTTAGGCTCGGCATTCAATGGATCTTCGTCCTGGCCAACAATCTATGCATTATAACTATGCTTACTATTGATAGTGATTACTATGATAACGACTATTAGTTAGTATTCTTGCTATTTTAATTACCAATATTACTATTATTGTTATTACCATCAAGCTTGCCCTTTGGCAACCCTGTGTTGACGACCATTTTGCTAAGCTGTGTCACGTTTTGTAGTATTTGTGATTTGGCCCACTACTCCCCAGTACCCGAGGCATGCATGCCCATGCACAGAAGACGCAGTTCAGTACGATATAAACGCAGAGTCATTGAGTCTACCTGCAAAATCATGTTGAATAGACAGAAACTTCTTGCAAGTTCACGGGATGCTACATGACAACAACTTCTACAGCTCCTTCTAAGCAGCCGAAGAGAAGCACCAAAAGTACCAAAGCAACCCAAACAACGGCCAGCCATAACTGGGGCTTAACTTCATCCGTAGGTTGCGAAGCATCCAGCTAAAGATTGCGTGAACAAGCCTGCTTGGGTGACTTGTACATCTAGCGTCCTTCAGCGAGTTGGATTCACCATCAGGGAGATGCTAAAAAGGCCACGAAAGACAACTTGAAAGATTCTGCCAGAATGCTGGTGTTTTGCTGTCCTGTCTCATTCTTTGTATCACCTTACAACTGCGGTCCTCAAAGCTTCACTGGACCTACATGGGCCATAATCTAAACTACTTAGTATACCCCTAATAACCCCTATACTGCTCCCATAGAATCTCCTATATCACCCCTTTCAAGGAGTTTAGACTAGAGCTCATCATATGAGGGGAAAGAACAACTTCCCAGGAGGCTTATGAACTCCTTGGTCCTACTCTCTATGCAACCCACTGGATGGTCCTAGCAGTGAATCAAGCTGTTGGGAGGTCCGATTACCCCCCCAAAAACTGCTCTGAGTAAGTCTTGGGGTTTGAGAAGTACCAAGAAACATAAGTTCTTTAGAGATACTGGAACATCGGATTTCTGTGGTAGCTTCGAATTTCAGTAAAGGCCGCCAAAAGGATCTCTAATTCTTGCGAGCCCCTAAAATGGCTCTACATCTAGGCAGCCTCGCTTCGGCACACATTTCAACTACCTTTCGTTCGATCCCCAGAAACAAGTTTGGGAACTGACGGTGCTGTAGAGTTGGTTAGCTCCCCAACTTAGGGCCCCTCTGAAGTCCTAAAAGCCTTGGGATCAACAGCCCCTTGCCCCACCTGCAGGGCCACTGTTGCGGCCTTTTCTTCGGCTGTTGGGGGGATCTCGTCATCAGCCTCCTGGCAGCGTGCAAACTAAGCCTTCAGGGCCTTATACGGTGCTTTCGTACACCCTCCCCCGCCACCACAGATCCACACTTCTTCAGGCTTGTGCAGTACAAGTGATTGGGCCATAATCTCCTGCAAAAGGAACTTCTTCCCTCGAGATAGACAAGTAACTAGCTCCTGATTCTGGTGGCTTAACCCATCAAATCTCAAAGCCGTGGATCTTGGGGTGGCTGTGGGAGCAAACGAATGGACTACGAAGCTGTGCTGTGACAAGGGGATGCTAGGCGCTTTATGGTTATAGTCCCCATTAAATAGATAGAATACGGCTTTGGGTATCTTACAATGGGATCCCCATATACCCCATATTCTATCTACTTAAGGGGGACTATATCCAATCCTGGCATAAAAAATCCCAGCAGTCTGCATTCGTAGCTTTAATGCTAACACCTCATCCCTAGCATTTCGCAGCGTCTACGCTGAGGCCCTGCAAGCTACTAAGGCTACGCTCCACCCAGATAACCTGGAAAACCACAATAGACTAGAGTCCTATCGGTTGGCTATATGATAAGTTTCAGGTAGGGTACTCTGGCAGGCATCTTCATCATCAAGAGACCTGACAGGGCTCCCTTTTTCCAAGATTTCCTGGCTCAAGTTAAGTTACCATATGTGGGTACATAGTCAGCCACATGGTTTCCTCATTCTGGTAACTGCTAGCAACTCGAGTTCCTTAACAGCAACCCAGTTTCCTGGCGGTCCTATGGACCAAGAACTCCAGACCACATAAGAGTCATAGTCTAAACTCCGAATATCCCCCTTACTATCCTGTATGATAATCACCTATATGATCCCCTATATAACCCCCTTTAAGGAGTTTCGACTGTAGCTCACGTATACATACCCCGCATGTTGGTACTCCAGGCCTCAGAGAGAAGAACCCGCCCTTGTTCAGGAAGACTTGCCAGAACTCTAGGAATCATAAAGCTTTCCAAAGTCATGCCTGTAAAAAAATGCCGGGCCCTATCTTTTTCTGATTTTTGAAGGAAGTTTCTGACAGTGGCCCTGCTACCCTAGCACTTTGAAGGCCAGCGCATTCATGAGTAACCTGTTTAGGCTCCATTCTTCGGACCCCAAACCACGAAATGCCTCATCCTCAATTTCGGTCTCGATCTCCTGTTCCTTACGAATTCGATGTCAGGCGGCTCTCAAATACGAGGTTCGGGTTCTTGTCACAAGGGCCCAATGCCGGGGTTAAACAGCCATCTAGACATACCGTGGATATTTTCCCGAGAGGTCCAACTTCGCGCTCCTAAGCCCAAAGCTGTCATCCTCAATGGTTCCTAGGTTGTAATTCTAAGGTCGTACTCCTAAAACGTTGCCCCAATATAGCCCTAATGGAACCCTTATACGAGCCCATGTAGTCCCCAGGAGACCCTCAAAAGGATCCCAACACCCAGGGTACAACCCTTGGGGTAGAAGCCTGAAACCCTGACATCCATCATCCTGGAGGTCCAAACCCTAAACCCTGGACCCTAATCCCTAGTCCCGAATCCCTAAAGCCTGTGAAGCCCACACCCCTAATGCATGCACTGGCTTAACCAAGCTCCAGTAGCCACAGCGAAAGCTGCAACAAAATTGTAGGCCCAATAATACATATAGCATGTCGCATATGTATATATATATATATGTATATATGTGTATATGGTAAACTTCAATGATGAATGTACATACCTAATGCTCAAACCAACTTTACTGCGAAGTACTTGCAACCAATAACCAATCTCCAGCACTCCAGACTAAATTACAACGTTAGAATTACTAACAACCAATTGCTGTTCTCCAGCCCCCTTAGCCTGAACTATTCAGTGAATTACTAACAAACCAGAACCATTCTCCAAAAGTTCAAAATGTACTAAAACCCTAAACCATGCACCTTATAACGCCCAAACTCCACGCCCTGAACCCTAAATCCTAAACTCTAAACCCTGAACCCTAAGCCCTAAACGCCAAACCCTGAATCCTAAACCCGAAGCCCTGAACCCTAAACCTACAGGCCGACTCCTCGTCCTCAGCTTCCTGGGCTGGTTGGGCCTGGGCTTGGCGCTGACAGGGCTTTGCGTTGAGGAGTGAAGGCCTCGGGGTTTGGGAGCAACTTAGGATCCGGGTTTAGGGTTAGGCTTTAGGGTTCGGGGTTTGCGGTTTAGGGTTTATGGTTTAGGGTTCAGGGTTTTTGGTTTAGGGTTCGGAGTTTAGGGTTCGGGGTTTAGGGCTTGCGGTTTGGGTTTTAGGGTTTGGAGTTTCAAGGCACAGCTGTAACAAACGTACACATCACCGGATTTGCCCTTTGCCAGGGACCCCAGCCCCACATTGTCTGTTGCTGCATCCTGAAAGAAACAACAACCTTGGGTTTGTATCGCATTTATATGCGTTTATATTAACGTTTATATTGGTACACTTTCGCCAAGTCAGCATCCAAAAATGTCAGTAACCAGCACCAACAACAGTAGCCGTGATTGATGGCGATGAATCGAAGTTTATATGAGCCAGTGCCTACCCCAAATCCCTTTTGCCTGAATACCCGAACACACAAACTCTAAACCCGAAGTCCCAATACTCTCAACTACTTATCTCTCACTCCTTTTCTTGCCGCTTTACCCTCCCGCCCATCAAGCATCAGTAGTTCTGAGAAGGCTTTTAACGGGCAAGACTACTTTTCAACGCATCTCACTAGGGAAATCGTGGTCAGGGATGATGGGGGTTTTATGCTGAAGCCAAACAATCCCAACGTCCAGCCTCCTCGACAGACGGGTGGTCTGGTGGAGCATCGCTAACTGGGCATAGTGCTAGAGTTTAGGGCTTAGGGTTGTTTAGGGCTTAGGGTTTCAGGTTTAGGTTCAGTGTGTGGAACGCCACTGGGCCTTGTGGAAGAGGAAGCAGGCTTCCAGCCGTAGGATTCTCAAGAATTCCCACAATTTTGGGAAACTCTTTTGTAGACTTTGCAGGATCTAGCAGGCCTTGATGAGAGATGTATGTGGAGACACGTGCTGACCATGCAGGGCTTTAGTTGCTGAGTGAGGGAGGTTCGCCATACAGACCCAAAGGATGTTGCCTATATTCAGTTGCTGAGGGCTAAGTGGAAGATGCGGCTCTTGTCGAGGAAAGGCGGAGGAGGGAGCCAAGTATCAAAGGGCAAAGCGTAAACGACTTACAAACTGTTCATGTCCGGAGAACACCATGAAAATGATATGATTTCCACAAAGTGGGATCTACTTGACACTCCTGACTAGAATCGCCGCATGAATTCCAACGTTGATGACACCTCAATAGAATCGCCTTCTTAATTCCCACGGTGATGCTGCGAAAGGGGATCTCTGATTCTCAGAATTCCCCGTAGCAGAAGTCTCCGAAACCGACATGCCACATGACTGGCAATGCAAGTCGGCTACTGCCGCAGATGAAGACAGAGAAGGGCACCCTTAAGTGTAGCTAGTGCTACTACTATGACTATTACTATTATTACTACTACTACTACTATGACTACTACTACTACTACTATTACTACTACTACTATTACTACTACTACTACTACTACGACTACTACTACTACGACTACTACTACTACTACTACTACCACCACTACCATTACTTTTACTTTTGCTGTCGCTGTTGCGCTTCTGCTCGGGCCGTTGCCGACTGACACTGTGTCTGCTTCTGCAGATGCTGCGTCCTGGTCTCTCGAAAACACCGGCATAAGACGGTGTCTTTGTAAGACCGCCAGTTGTTCGGGGCGATTGAAAGATTCGTCTGGGTGTGCTCAGGCCGCCGCCCCAGCATCCATCTAAACAACCCTAAGATGCTGCAACTCATGATGTCTTGGGGCTAGAACCGGGATGATGGGAAAACATTCACCCCAAGGAAGAGTTGCACTTTTCCTCATGGACGAAAGGCTATTCTCAGTCAGATCCCCTGAGAACGAGTCGTGATGTCTGGGGCACTCCACGTCTGTTGTAAGTACATTCACTTCACAGCCTACCTAGACCCTCCAATGTAGTTCCTTTTTGGGTTTGGTATGGTTTTTTGGTTAGGATCTTTATTAGGACTACCAAAAAGGTACTACATTGGAGGGTCTAGGCAAATGCTGAATCTGAAGCCAAACTGCACGTTACATCCTGGATTGCCTATCCACGGTTATAGCGTGGAATTGTGCATGGGAGCAAGGCGGGCCTATCCTGGCACAGTATAGGGACCCTAGGAATATGGGGGTTTCCCCAAAATTAGGGGTACCTTTTCGGGGGGTCTCCATAATAAGGACTCGAGTATTTTGGGAAACTGCCATATGTCATGGTTTATCTGAGGCACCATGTGGAGCTTCATTCTAACAACAACACTTTTGAGGGCATCATCCTGTACCACTGAACCTACATGAAGTTCCCACTCGCATAACCACCTACTGCTGAGTTACCCAAAATCTGAACAGGAACAGGCATTCTAGAACCCAGCCGAAGAGAGAGAGAGAGAGAGACAGAGAAAGAGAAAGAGAAAGAGAGAAAGAGAGAAAGAGAAAGAGAGAGAGAGGGAGAGGGAAACAAACACCCAACAACAGAAACAGATCATGTCAACTCACCTACCTCGAGATGGCTGCATCAACACTGGTGGCTTGCTGTACAGATGAGATACAGGTGTATGGTCAAACATGGCATTCTGTATCATAGCGACTCTGTAATGATGCTTTTGTTCCTGATTCGACGTGGTACTCTTGGGATACTGTTGATACTAAAGATCCTGCATGACTTTTAGTATACTAAAAAATCCCAATGTTTATGGTTCTTGAGGTCATGCAGGATGTCTAGTACCCACATGTATCCACTGTGTTTTTTCGCAGTGTCTAAGAATCCTATCAGATCCGTAGCTCCTCTGCCAGCTCTTCGGCCGCGGGCTCTGCAGCAGCAGCGGCCTCTTCACCAAATCAAGAAACTGACCATCCCCAAGGATCCACATGAAGTGTTCCCAAAATTAGGGGTACCGTTTTGGGGGTCCCCATAATAAGGATCAGAATATTTTGGGCTCTACATTGGGGTACCCCTATTCTGGGAAACTACCAAATAGCGCAATGTAGGTACTATTTACAGACTTTAGGGCCTTGCCTTCCAGTTCCAATCCTGCTACATTCCACAAACTAAACGCTCTGACTAGTGCGTTGGGAACTAAGGAACTGGCCAGGCAGCAAATGTTCCACGATCATCCGAAGACTCCCTCAAAAGGCTTTTCAAGGTTGTGTAGACTCTCCAAAACCAACTTTCCTGCCCCTGTGACGACTCTCCCTCAAGGGCTTAATAAACCTGAGCATCAAGTCCCCCTCAAGTAGGTAGAACATGGAGTATATAGGGATCTTATTTCGGTATTGGGCATTTCCATGTTCCATCTACTTAACGGGGAATACAGTATAACCTAGGCCCTAAACCATAAATAGTAGCTTCCATTTTCCTCTCCATTATCACTATATAATCCCACCTAAACCCTAAACCCTAAATAGTAGCTTCCATTTTATTTTCCATTATCCCTTTCTAATCCCAATCAACCCTACATTAAGAAACAATTTCCAAACACAAACAAAGAACTTGTGGCCTGCTCCTCTGTGACCTGCTCTGGCTGGTCCTCCTCCAGCTGCACTGCAAGCGAAGGCCTGGGGCACCAGTGGAAACTACTATGGCATGTTGGGGTTATACGGGGATATGTAGGGATAATGAGAAAGAAAATGGTGACTTCTATAGCGTACTGGGGCTATATAGGGATGTCTAGGGATAATGGAAAAGAAAATGGAAACTACAACAGTATGTTGGGGTTATATTATGGGGATATATAGGGATAATGGAAAAGAAAATGGAAACGACTACAGTACATTGAGAACAGTGCTGTCCGACTCGCTTACTACTCCTGCTCCCACGATGATTCCCTTTAGTTCTACAGTTCTAGCTATATTCGTATCAATATCAATACCCGGCTTCTTTTATATATAGATTGTTCTCACTGTTATCATCAGTGTCTGGGGAGTAGGCCTTCGGAGGGGAGATGTTCTCGCAACAGGGATACCCTAGGAGAACCTAGAGTCGCCGCTAAAGCTTGTAGTCCCCCTTAAGTAGATAGAATATGGGGTATATGGGGATCTTATTATCACATACCCAACGCCATATTCTATCTACTTAAGGGGGACCATATATTTTGCCAATTTGCAAGAATCACAGCTATGTTGGGATTGGCAGTGCTCGCGATGATATCATTGCATGTCAGGAAAGGCATCTGTCAGGAAAGGCATCTGTCCAAACTGGACGGCTGCCTAGTGGTCGTAACATTAGGGGTGTCGCCTTTCAGGGGGTTCCGATTGCTCTAAGGCTTGTGAACCAATTTGGGGGTTCCATGTCCAAGCCTTCAACATATAGTCCCCTTAAGTAGATAGAATGTGGAGTATATGGGGATCTTATTATAATATCCCCAAAGCCATATTCGATCTACTTAAGGGGGACTATAGTCTCCTTTTTCGGGCGAATGCTCATTAGCCAGACCCCCTACAGAATCCAAAAAAATGGAACCCCCTAATGACCCCCTAGTTTCCCCCATGTAGTAATGGGTTCATATTGAGGGGGGCAACCCTAAAGCCTAAGTCCTTAACCCTAAAACCCTAAGCCCCAAACCCTAAAACCCTAAACACTATTGGATCCTTTAGGGAGTCTGGGTACTAGAGTGAGTGTTCATTCGTCCCAGCGGCAGAGCTGTGATCTCCGAGCTAACTTGCTCCGGCTGGTAGCCTGAGCAAATGGCCAGCATGTTGTATAGTATATTAAAGTATATGATACTATATTGTGGTATATGATAGAATATCATACTATATTATACTATATAGTATATTATACTATATGAGCAGCTGACAAAAGTTC